AACACACATAAGGCTTGCTTATGGATTTGCTCTCAAGCAGTAAGCACGTGTTCTGCCTGCCGCATCTTTGCATCGCTGGTTTTAGCTTTAATTTTTTCTGGTTCGAGGAGAATCAATAGCGCAGTGGCAGTGCGCGCCGTCAACGACCAACGAGTAGTTCGATCGCGCTGCGGTCGTATGTTTTGCGGCGACCATAACATGGTCGTGAGCAGCACGTCCTTCAGTCGGACACGTCGTGTTCTCGGTTTCTTTACATCACGACATATTTCGGGGGTTTACTACGGCCCTGATGTATCAACAATGTCAAAACTTGTCAAGAGGGCGGGATTAGCGGACCACCCCTTTTTGCCGAAGCGATTTTTGCTTCAGAATCCACCTTTTTCGATCGGGCTTGAACTGTTGCGTTAGCCAGGAGCCGTGCCCCCGATCTGCGTCAAAATCCCGCTATTCCCCCCCCCCCCCAGTTCAGCTGGACAATGCCTTTAAGCTAGATAGAAAGCATTGGACTGACGCAAACATTTGTTCTCATTTGTTACATTTGTTAACAAATAACATTTGTTCAACGTTAGAGGCAATAAATCGGCGAAATCCAACAACTCAGGATTTTAACGCGGTAGTCTTATCGCCCAAGTAGGAAACAGTGCAATCCCGGTTGCACAGCATGCTTTCGCTGCCGAGAAAATCGCTCTCAGACTTACACGTGCAGGCCAATCTTACACGCATCTGAACGAGTTGGCAATTTCTTTCTCACCATTGGAGGTTGCCCGCCGCAACGCTATAACCATTGAGTCCTGCCACGATTTAGCGTCATCAGCCTTGCTGCTCTCGTCCAATTCCAAGGGGAAGGGCATTGAAAAACGCTCATTTTTGTTGTTTTTAAGCTTTTAAAAGTGGATTTTCGGGATCGTATTGAATAACCCCAGGTAAGCGCAAATTTGACTAGGTTGAGATTTGCCGAGCCACTGCCTTTAGCATTTGTTCTCCTAAAACCAACACATCTACGCGTAGTAATTTTCGTCGAGGAAATCCCAATTTCCACTCCTTCCATGGTGGACAAACGCGCAATGTACACCAACCCGCTCGTGACGAAAGTAAGGCAGCACGGCTATACTTCTGTTGATGAAGCGCTAACAAGCTCCGGCCGTTTTCTTACCACAGTTTGTTCTTTTTTTTCAGACAACTTTTGTTCATCCTTCAACATTTTTTCTTTACTATCCTTTTTGACATGTTCTTCAAATCTCGCAGATTTTGAAATAACACTCCGAATTTCTCCCCGCTAGCAGTTCCTCACAAGGAAAGGATACTTCGTCGAAGTCAGTCGAAAGCACCAGTCCAAATGAGGCATATATCATCTTAAAGCGCTTGAAACGCTGATTCCAAATCTGCAATTTCTAGCTGCGGAGCGGTTTTGTAGAGGGAGTTATGGGGGGTGTTTCCCATGGGGTTGAGGCGCCCTCCATCAGGTCTCCCCTACCTATGAGCACTGTAGAGGAGTACCAAGTGGTGGCAACTGACCTAGTGGTAAGTGACGTGCTTGACAAAGAGAGTGTTAAGGTTTTAATCCCATTCGCATGCTAAATTGAACTTCTAAATGGCTTTAGAGTCCTAAAGCATGAAACTTCTGATGCTATTGATACTAATCGAAGTTAGAAGTGTTAAAAAAACCCAAGAAATATGAGTATTATAATCTTTACTGTAATCTTCACTCAAGTTACTTACCTTTAGGTCAGTTGCCATCAGGTTACTCCTCTACAGTGCTTACAGATAAGGGGAGACCACTGGAGGATGCCTCAGCCCCAAAGGGAATCACCCTTCATAACTCCTTCTACAAAACCGCTCCGCAGCTAGAAACTGCAGGTTTGGAATCAGCGTTTCAAGCGCTTCAAAATGATATGTGCCTCATTTGGATTGGTGCTTTCGACTAAGTATCCTCTCCTTATCAAAACTGTCCCATTTGAGTCTGCTCAAAAATTGTCAAATCGCCAAGGTGTGTAATCCGTTGTTTCTGCCTTTTTGCAATAACGCACTGCAGAAGCTTTGCCTTAACATTAAATCTTTACAGGTTTTAATAGGAATATTTTGTGAACCAGCTAGTTGTGCAAGGTAAAAACGATAACTTGAAAATTCTAATGGTTGACTAAGCGATCGTCAAGGCTTCAGTTCTGGAAGAAAGGTTGCCTACTGAGATACTTGAAGTTCGAATTTTATCTGCTCGATTTGCATACAAGTCCAAAATCGTTGCTAACGTTTGCACTAACCTGAAAACAAAATAAAAATCAAAAGTAACGACCAAGGATCAACAAAAACATTCGTAGAGAAAAGCTTTCAAACAAAAAGCAGCTTTCCGAAATCTCTGTGAGAACTCAGATTCCAAATAGTGAATCACAAGTACTCACCAGTATTTAAGCTCGTTCAGATCATATGATAGCATTAGAGCTTGTGATCCACATTAACCCATCAAGGAAGTGGACGAAAAGAGGTTGAAATGACGAAATTAAATATCAATTAGACAAACGGAAAAGACAATCGCCGCGTGATGAAGTGCAAAAGTATGAGTAAACGAAAAGTGAGTAATTATGTAAGGCCAATTAGTGAAAAATAAAATTGCTGCCCAAGGAGAGGCATTAATACATAATAAATTGGGTTATTTGCCAAAATTCAAAAAAATTTATTCTTGAGAAAAATCAAAGAATACCATCTGGAGTCTACATTGTTCAGCCATGGTGATTCTGAAGCAACATTTCTGCTAGTACTATCGTCTGCAAACACTAAAATCTCTAAGTCTGCGCGATAATCACCGAAACGCAACGACTGAAAACAAAAGGTGGAATGTACCTTGAGTCTTAAACTTGAAAACAAGATGAAAACAAGATAAAAGAAGACGGTCAAAGATCTGTTTTGCTAAGGGATAGGTTGAGCTAGGACACTGACGACGAAATGTAGTTCAGAGCAACTAGCAAAAGAGTGCGATGTTGAAGACAGAATAATAATTTCACTAGTTTTGCGCTACCTTGGAGAGAATATGAGGTGGAAAAAATATTAAAAAATGTTTTTTCTAGGCTACTCTGCTTTAAACTTGGTAAGAAGTTGTTCAATTTGGTACAAGTTTTCGATTCAAGCGAAAAGAAGTTTATGAGATTGCAAATAAAATAGAAGTCAAGAAAACGCTTCTTGAAAATTTTGAGTCCATTCCTATTTCCATTCTCCCGAACATGACCCACTATTTCATGAACAGAATCCTAGAAAGAGTGAAGACGAAAGCCGCAAGCTGAAAGCTTATAGTTACTCAAAATATTGGAAGAAAGTCAACATTCAAGTGCTGCTCTCGATAAAGTGGAACTTGAAATTTTTTCTAGGCTAAAAGTGAACAATAAAGTTACTATTGTTTTTCTGGTTGAACGCAAATATGTTACTTATATTTATTGTCACCCCTATAAAGAGAAAAGGGAATATACCATCTGAAGCTACACAAAAAAGTAGGCAGAAAATTAGGAGGTTATTTTAATTTAATTTTATTTTAATAGACGAAATAAAAAAAAATAAGCTGAACTATATACTAGCTGATGTCCTTATTCTAATATTTTGCAGCTTAATCAAACACAAGCAAGGTTTATCTGATATAGAGCCCTGAAAAAATGGTAAGATCAAAAGAGTTCGTTCCTGTCCGCTAATGGATAATTTTCAGTGCTCTCGGGAAAGGAGATAGCTATATGCTTGACGTGCTTTTATGATTCGCCGTTTATTTACCAAAGGATTCGGCGAGAAACGGCCGAAAAATGCCGTCTAACTGATTTATGTAACTAGTTGCCAACGAAAAATTTGTGACGTACTGCAAACGAGGTTTTGCGAAGAAAAGACACACTTGCACAGCAGTTTGCAGAGCAAGTCCGAAAATCTGAACAAGGCACGAGAATAATTGAGAAATGCGAGAATATAGCAGAGCTAGTAAAATCACCATAAAATCACCAAATCACCACGAAAAATGCAAAAATACGAGTAAGTTATAACTGGGAAATAATAATGAAAACAATAATAAAAGCGTTTATAACCAATAATACGAAAAAGTACCAATATTGAATGCTTTAGAGTCATATGAGATTAGGCGCAGTATCTCGTAAGCTTTGATCAAACTTTTCATAGCTTGCACTATTCTTTTTCATATTTATGGATCTTTTCCTCAGAAAATTTTGAGTTTCATGATTTTTTAGGTGCAGCGCATTGGGTGTAATGTAGTGCAACATGAAAATGACATAAATTTTTTTACAAAATAATCATGAGTTTTCAAATCAATAATGTCCGATTATGACGAATGCATCGATACCAATTCTGACCTTTTATGGAGAGTTCTTCTTGTGATCAATAACTTCATGAGCCAACATATCAATAGTTATTAATGATTGTTACACTTCAACACAAGTTTCCTATTCTCACATACCAGTACTCATTCTAGGAGAGAATGCAATTGGAGAAAAAGATCGACATAGGTTGTCTTTACCAGATTTTTCGTATAGTTAAGGTGGATGATGGAAGTTAGGAAATGTTAGCAGAATGGCAAAGTTGAAAGGTAAATAATTTGTCAAAAGGAAAGAGATGGCTTAGGATTTTGTGTCATTTGGCTTTATATAAAATCTAATCAACTTTCAAGATAGTAGAACATTGATTTTACGTTTACATTCTCGAATTTTCCTAAAAGAATCACAGATACCGTGAAAACCACAAAAAATGCTGCTACCTGGTGGAACGAAAAAACTGAAAATTATCCAAGCAAAATAAAAAACAATAAAAAAATATTGAGAAGAACTATTAACGTCATATTCCTCGAATTTGCCTTTTTTGTTGTACTGAGCTTAATGAGTCAGATATGAAATCTATAGTTAAGAGCACGGCTAAAATAAAATAAACCTTCCCATACGCTGTCCTTGGGAGCATTTGGAAGATCCCCAAGATACAGAAAGGGATTTCCCTGCATGGAAACGTGCAAAACAGACTCACCCTGTCTCTCAACATCTGTACAAAGTAGTTCGCAGTGCGGTTGATTGTTCGTTTAGCGAAGCCGATAGGCCTAAAAATCGATGGAATTGTTCTAAACAATCAACCACGGCTCTAGTTAATGGAAAAAATAGACCTTGAACTTTTGGGCATAGTCGGGAAGAAGCCTGATCGGTTAAGTTAATCTCCTTGACAGAGTTAAAGTAGTTTAGGAATAGTAACAAAGGAAATAGAAAGAATTGTTTAATTGCCGGGTATTTCTTCGGCAGAGCAACGCAGTGAACGTCCAATATGGGAAGAAAAATTGGAGAAGAATGGCAAGTCTAGGAAATGACACTGTACGTCATGCAGTCAGCTGTTCAGTTCGAGAGAGATGGTCACCCCCACAATGAGATGGGGAACTTTCGGCCCGAGCCAAAGCACGTAGGAACAGAGAGCAATTTCTAGCTTGTTTCAGATAAAAATTCAGGAAGAGAATTGAATAAAACTGATGAAAAATGTGAGTCCATACAAAGATTCTCTGATAGTAAATAATTAAAAATAATTGTAAATAAATTAAGAGTACAAAATGTGCATGGTTTATGGATTTTAGATGAAGAAACGGAGCTTACAACATAGTCAGAAGATGAAGGTCGTGACATAAATTTTTTTCCCAGGATAAAATCTTCATGCTTTTATCTCTTCTCATTTCCAAATTATGTGAAGAATTGTCGCTTTTCGATATGCACATGATGCACTCGATTTTATATGTGCGACATACAATTGAAAACTTCAGTTTTGTAATTTTGGAGCCTAAATTATTTTTGGCAAAATTCTGATTAGCGTCATTGAAGAGCTTCCAAACTGCCTTCTACCAGCATAAGCCCGCAGGTCCATAAAAATACCGGACGAAAAAGAAAAACAGCAACAATTTTTGACAAAAAAAGAATACGAAATGCCGTTGTAGAATTGCTTTCCATTCACCAAAAGTTGTGTCCATAAAGTTGCCCATGGATAGTCTCCTGTATCCTCCTCATATAACTCATGTTTGAGAATTTAGCGAAGGTCCCGAGTTCTTTAAAGAACAAAAAAATTGTAAAAAACTTACGACCTAAAATATACCCAAAATTCTTTGACTCTGCTTGCTAAATGCTGAAAATTCCATATAATTCTTTTTGATTATGGATAGACTGAGAAGTACAAAGCTAGAGAGCATCCGAACGAGTCAAATCAGATGGAATTCGATTTTATCCAATGATTGACTTCGTAAATTTTCAGAATTGCGTCCACAATATCGATTTTATCGATAAATATCGATGTTTTGATTGAAAAAGATTGAGATGGTAATTCTCATACCTATCGAATGAATGCCTTCGTCCTGGATGAGTTACCGAAGGAAGAACCGTCACCAGCTTTGTTGGTGGTATGGAATGTTGCTGCTGGTAATGATGATGATGATGACCGTCGATCCACTGAAAGCAAAATAAAAAAATAAAATGGAAAAGCTTCCAAGCAAACACTTGGTGAAAAAAATCTACAGAAAGTAAAGAAAAGACCCCATGATAGCTACGTATAAGCAATTCCGCTAAGAAAAACATGGAATGCATTCTTTTCTTCTTTTTCTTGAAAAATCCTGATTGATTGGCAACATACTTTTCCCAGTTTTTCCAGTTAAAACATACTTTACAGAAGATTCAAGAAAGTACAATGCAGGAAGCTTCTATGGAGGATTTAATGCTAAACATAAAAAGAAAATATTTTTAAATCGCTTTTAACTAGGATTAGTTCAAAAAAGTAATTTTTTTATGCATTGACTAAAACATTGACTTGTTGTTTGATTTTCAATAATTTAGAGTATTGTTTTTTAGGCAGTAATTTAAGACAGCTGTCCACGAATCTGTTTTTTGAGCATTATAATCGTTAAGAGAAAAAGTGAGCAATGATGGATCATCATTGCTTCCGCTGTACAGTAATGTGTTTTTTCTCAAATGCCTCCTCATCCTATTGGTAATATCATAGAACCAGTTAGTTACAGAGGAAATGACACCATTCGTATATGATGAATTTGAGTTACCAATCGATAATGTACAGTCGATTCTTTCTCTTTTGGATGTTCCCAATTTTTGGCCAATTTTGATGAAAATCGCACTGCTTGTGATTGATAAATATACAAAAACAGTCAGTCGGATTTCAAAAATGTTATCTGGAAAAACTACAGACGTCTGCCTCATAACTGTGTAGTAAAGTGTTTTGACTAGAATTTTAGCATCAATTCGATCACAGGATTTTTTTCCAAGAAACTCCCAATTATATTTGGAACTACTCAAAACTGAACTACTAATGGTTGTGAAAATTATTTTCTAATCTGTAGAAAATGTATTTAGAAATGCAAATTTTGCAAAGTTGGAAAGCAAGGATTATTACGAAGCGGGTTTAGTCACTTTACATTGAAATAATACATGAGACTAATTGCGAAACGCCGATAGAAAAATTTTGATAGACTGGTATCCTAAATCTTTACGTCAGCACGAAACAATATAAAAACCGCAAAAGATGAATGCTGAGTGATTTCGCGATATAGATCGTTTCCACTAAAATTTCTTTGTTAGAATATAACACAAAAATCAATATAGCAAACAGCTTTTGATCTTCGATTGAGTGTTGATGCCCAATTTGTAAGGCAAATCTGCAAAATATCAGGTCGGTCCTAAAGTTTGTGCTGTTTTTCAGATCCATGCTCAAATTACCCAAACTAATGATAGACAAACACTCTAAGCAGTGTTTGATGCAGAATTTCTTCCCTGTTTTATATGATTTATTTAGACTCGCTTAAACTTCACTCAAATATTCGCTAGAGTCTCCAGCCCATGGTTTTTGCCTACCCTGAGTTTGGCTAGTTTCTGAGATTTGATTTTTTTGACTTTTTTATTTATTTATTTATTTATTTATAAGCTGCACTCGTAGGTGCGCCGAGAAAAAGAATACAGAGTAGGACATCTTGAACATGACAATTACGTTCCCACGGTGAAGTAAAAGCAAGTCTCGTCTCCTTGGGTGGTCAGGTCGTTCTCCATCTGCAGACGGTGTGACGTCCTAGACCGAAATCCTGGTCCCCATCTCGAACGCGGGTTTGAATAATGGAACCAGGGCTCGGATGACCGACTTAACCCGAACGAAAGAGTTCGTCCGGGACCCTGGGCGAGCGAATGAGGGGGATCTCAAGGTAGTGGGACCACCAATCGTTGATTTCCTTGAACGGCTATTCCCATTGGAGACGAATTAAACAGCAGAAAGCTCACGGGAACATGAGTGTGAAATCAACAAACTAAACAAACAACAAAAAACCGAAATGCATCGCAAAATGGAAGAGCTCTAAAATGAAAATAGAATTTCTAATAATAGGAAATGTCACTGAGTCCTGGCTGACTCGAAATCGGAGAACCACCGTCTCGTACTACCATCTCCTAAGCAAGTCTCGCAGTCTAAACATCTGAAATCTTTAATGCTTTCAGAACATCGATCTGAGCCAGTCTTTGCCGAAAAACTTTTGAATTGATGCTGGCTGTAATATCGGTTGGTAAGAGGCTAAGCCATCTCGATGTTCGGAAAGCTTTTGGACTAGCTTTGATAACATTTGGATAGAATAAACAAAATGCAACATGAGGAACTATTTTGGCCACATCATCTAGCCTTTCAGTATTTCTTAAAATAGTTTTTTCAAAGCATTTACTTTGCAGAGTCGTAAAATACACACCGCCGCTTCGAACACTGACAAATCTTCAGAATTAGAAGCTTCCAAAAACAGATTATGACTTAGCACTAATCTAGCAAGCAACTGAGCGTTAGTGTACAGCTTGGGACGAGCTTGGGAGCAAAAATTGAGATGATTCTATCCATGAATATCGTACAAATCTGAATGGAAAGAAATCTATCAGAAAGAGAAGAAAAAGTTGCATTTGACACCCAGGTTGTTCGGCGTTTATCTTTCTGTGAGGATTGGGATGCCCAAATAGGAAATTGATAGCATCGGGAAAATATTCTCAGAAACTTTGAGAAGCCATCTAGAAATGCCAGGAGAAATGTATCGTATTGCATTTTGTTTAATCTATCCAACTTTCATCAAAGCTAGTCCAAAAGTTGAAAATGGATATTTTAAAATATAGCCAAAGTCAGGGTAGGCAAAAACCATCGGTTGAAGATTCTGATGGTTATTCAAGCGGAAATCAAAGAAACCTGAACAAAAACATGAATATTGAAAGGGGGAAGAAATTCTGCATTGAACACTGTTCAAACCATTTGCCTGTCATTATTCCAAAAGGTTTGAGCACGGGTTTAAAAAAGGATGAACTTTCGGACCCACCTAATAGTATATACAATCAAACAGAGAAAGATTAGGAACGATAGAAATTCTTTGAAGGTTTTTGAAAGCAATGTGCACTCTTTCTGAGACGTTGGAACTATGTATCCTACCAAAATAAATTTTTCTTTGTAATTACGGAAACTTCACTAATATGCAAAAGCACAATCTGCACTATTTGAACGCCTTTATGAGCGGAGATATTACACTTCAGCTATCGGTGCCTTTCAGGAGCTTACTTTGCAGAGCGGAAGCAACTTTTCGAACTCAAAGAAAGACATGAACTCGAATATGAAATGAAATTGTGCTTTTCCAGACTTGGAAAAAGAATGTTCAGCATTATCGCCTTCGCTTTGCATGAAACTTGAGACTCCAAAGGAGCATGAAATGATTGATGTTTTCGGCAGCACTGCAGCAAATAACAGTTCGCAAGCTTTGCAAGATTTATATGCACAGTTTTTATAAAATTTGAGCTTAAAAACAAGAAAAACGAAGTAACCGAAAAGTGACAGACCCCGCCCCATTGATCCTAGGCTCCTCCCACTTGTCTAAATACCAGCTACAGGCGAGAGAGAGTGCAGATGCAAATTTTCTAAAGCTGCTTTTCTCAAAGTCTAAGGCATACATACATGCCTTAGACTTTGAGAAAAGCAGCTTTAGTCTGGTCGGACAAATAAGTAAAATTGCAGAAGTTCTAAAAACTTGATTCAATTATAATTGCAATCAATTCGTCTAGATGTGTGCGAAATATAATCACAAGCAAACACTTCCACACAAACAAGCTTTGTAAACCTCCAACCTGAAAATGAAGAGAAGAAAGGAAACGAAAAAGACAGACTCCGCCCTTGCTATTACGAACTCCGCCCACAAAAAGTTATATACATAAATTGCATTCTATATCCAAGCAGGTACATACATTAAATTTCAAGCGCAGTACTGTTAGTGCCCTTTCGGTGCTTACACCTTTCGTGCGTGGAAATATTCACGAAGCGAACAGACTTGAAAATCTGTCCTACAAGGTTTGCTCAAAAATCCTCGGACCTTGCATTTCGACAGAATTTTTCTTTTGATGTAAGCACCGATTGAGCCATGCTGCATTCCTTTTGATAAAGGATATCAGTCTCTCAAGACTATGGTAAGCACACAAGCATTATCGATGTTTTCTCCAAAAAAAAAACAGGCGGAAATTCTTAAGCATAGGATTTTGATCAAATTCAGATCTGCCAATTCTATAAACGTTATGAAACCCCGCATGCTCCATAATAGTACATATACTTAATTAATTACATGCACAGTTTGTAAGAAATTTGAGCTCAAACAACAAGAAAAACGAGGTAATTGAAAAGTGGCAAATTCCGTTCCATTGGTTCTAGGCTCCTCCCACTTGTCTAAATACCAGCTACAGGCGAGAGGGAGTGCATACAAATTTTCGCACACATATATGCCTTAGACTTCAAGAAAAAGCGGATTTAAATTGAAAATGTCCGAAGACTTTTGAGCCAATCAAATAAGACAATTTTTTTCAACAAGATCAGTATCACAAGCATGAGAATTTCCCGCGCAAGCGTTTCGGCACCGCAAATGCACAATACTCATTTTGGATCGGTGCTGCACATGTATCACCTGTGCTACACACGGTGAACCACCGAGCTCGTCTGTTGACAGTTCGCAATTTGCGCTTTGTAGTTTCACGCAGGATAGTAAATCCACCATAATTATTCTACATAAAGATGTATCGGTGATCGATAAACATGTCCAAAATCAGCATATCTAGTGATGCCCTTAGGCAGGAAATTTCACGCTTATTTCGCTGAAAACAAGTCTTCGTTTGGAAAAAGTTGTGCCTTCGTGAAAATCACAGAACTTACCTTTATAACAGGATGCAAGGGTGAAACATCTTTAGGCATAGGAGTAAGCTTTCTTGACGACTCCTGTGGAATCTGTAGAGTTGTCTTAGCAGTCGTGGGCTCCGACGGAGGAGCACCGAGAGGTTTGACCACAACCGCCTCCACGGGAGGCTCCACGGATACCATGGGTGGCGAGGGCTTTTTCTGCAAGGTAGGGGGTCAGTGAGTCATCTTTTCAAACTTGTAAATTAGTCAGGATTATGACTCAACAAAAGGGGTAAAAAGAACACAGCCACTGCAGCCGTTTGCGCACAACTGAACCAGTTCGCATGCTATCGCATGCTACATGAGTACCAGTTGCCCGCGAACGGACTGTTTCTGTATTGTATTCTCAACCAGTATACAGGAGCTTAGCTTATCTCCATCTTACAAGCACAAGCAATGCCTACCTCGTTATTTATCGATCCTTTCGTCAAGTCTTTCAAAATTGTTGCAAAATTCTTCTTTTCGAGTGCTGCAGAAACTGTTCGTAAGTTCTGAAAATAACCAAGCTATTGCGCCTGCAGTCAAAACGTTTCTAACCAGAGATACAACATATACAAAGATTTTGATAGAAATATGAATTTAGATAGCAGAGCTTTGATATCATGAATTCGATGCTAGTTAGCGATGAGAAACGCTGTGTCCTACAAACAATCTAAATACTTCTATGATCATGGCTTTCGGGTCATGGACTGAAAAATTGTTGACTCATTTTCAAATCAGTTCATTCAGTCGTTTTTTATAAAACTTTAACTTTCAAGCTTTGATAATAAAAGGTGATTTCTCTTGAGAGAAACTTTGATATTCAGGCCTCGGCAATCAAGCTTTCCGAGGTGATTGATAGTAAATGATGATTATTTTAGGTTAGGTTAAATGATTTCAAGACCAAAAATCAGATAATCGATCTTACCCGATTATCTTGCAAATCAACTGCAAACTTTTTGTCAATAGCAGTTCACTCCACGAGATTCACAGGTTTGGCGATAATTAATTTTTTCTAGCATAAAATTGAAAATGATAATTTTGCTTACGTAGTTTGATTTACCGAGAGGTTTCCAGCGCTTTTTACTAAAGTATTGGGGAAGTGATCAAATGAATTGAAATTTAGATTGAATTCTAGTTACGCCAAATCTGGGCCAAACCAGATGGTGTCAAATATTTCTTTTAACTTCTGAATATTATTGTTATGAATATCGTTGGTCAATGAGTACAATAAACAGGGGAAAACAAGCTAGTATATCTTATATATAAAGCTGAATGTCTGTTTGTCTGTCTGTATGTCTGTATGTCTGTCTGTCTGTACGTATGTTCCGAATAGAAAATTCCATTTCTGAACCGATCCGGACCAAACTTGGCACACATACACTACGGGCGTGTCATAGGCTACTTTTCGTCATCGATCGATATCGATTTTATCGATTTTTATCGATTTTTTTGCTGAGTTCACCTACGGGGCTGGGAGTTGGCACAGGGGGGTAATCGAGCATGGGGATTCCGAATACAATATTGGTTTTCAGGATTATCGATTACTTTTATCGATTTTATCGATTTTTTCGCAAAGTTTGAGCTACGGGGCTGGGAGTTCGCACAGGGGGGTAATCGAGCATGGGGATTCCGAATACAATATTGGTTTTCGGGATTATCGATTACTTTTATCGATTTTATCGATTTTTTTGCAAAGTTTGAGCTAGGGGGCTGAGAGTTGGCACAGGGGGATCACCCCCCCTTGGGGGTGATCAGCATGCTCGATTACCCCCCTGTGCCAACTCTCAGCCCCCTAGCTCAAACTTTGCAAAAAAATCGATAAAATCGATAAAATCGATATCGATCGATAACGAAAAGTGGACTGTGACACCCGCCGGGGCCCGAAGTGTATGTGTGCCAAGTTTGGTCCGGATACGGCGGAGCCGGGTAAGCCAGCTAGTTATATATAAAATCAAAATTTTTGAACAACAAGACACAGGAAAAGGAGATAAAAATTGTGGAAGGAGATAGAAATGTCACACACAACCTACTTCAATATGATCATGACACAAAAAACAACAGAAAAATTACCTCTTTAGCTGCATTCATATCTCTCAAATTGAGAGAGATTTGCTCACAGTTCATTTGTGATATGTACCGGAGCTTTGGTTTCGTGACCTAGGTCATTACTATCATGTCCCATCAGCAAAAAACACTTAGCTGGCAGTCGTAAAAACTGATAAATTCTTGAAAAAGGTGAAATATGTAGAACCTACCAGTTTGAACAGTTTCTCAGACCAGTCTAGCGATGTTGTTCTTTTCAGGTTTCGTTTTATTGGTACGAATACCTGTAAAAAAAGATGGCAATGGTGTGATCAGAAGTCAGAAAAGATGATTTTGCAGTTAGTCTTGCAGGAAATCACCAACACACCCGGCAATTCAGCTGGAAATGTTATGTGAATAGAGGAAGAGAGAGCAACTTTTTTTAAGTAAGAAAAGAAAATAGCCATTGCCTTCTTGATCAAATCACTGATGACGTAAACATTTTAGAGACCCTGTTGAAGAAGAAAATCAAATGCATGACGTTTATAAGCACTACTTCGAAATATTCAATGGCGATCAATATTCAAACTTTACTTCCGCTTCAAAATTCAATGAGAAAAAAAAATCGAAGCTGACGTGAAGAAAGATCTGACTTACATTGTGCACCATACTTGAAACTGTCGTTTAAGTATCTTGCTAGATTTAACACAGCTTGTGGCTGAGCTGATAGAACAGCTCAGGCCACATTGTCAAATTGCGAGAGTGAAAATAATTTGTAGGCACCGAATTCAAAAAGATTTTATGCAGCATGCAGTCAACAATGAGCTGAAAATCTTGCAAAAAGCCCTCGCTATGCTGGTCGAGATTTCCGGTCCGAAGGGCGAAAATGATGGCGACTCACATCGTTTTGAAAAAAAGCTGATCAATTTAGGCATAGAGGATAAGCACCTGAGAAACTTCCCGCAGCTTCTCTGTTAATTTCATTGTTGGCTGATTAGAGTAATGCTTGCATCTTACAAAAAACTGCTTCGATTTTGAAAAAAAACCGGCAGTAGAATCTCGAAAAAAAGCAAAGCTGTGGAAAGATAGAAGCGATGTGATGCTGACAGAGTTTTATGGAAGGAAAACTGCTATGATTTCTTTGGCGGGAAGGAGGCAAAATTAGGATGTGCAGAGAATTATTTACTCTAAAAAGGAGGATGGTTCATCTTCTACGCGTCCCTCGACTGGTCGGTCATTTTGACCGCTCTTCCCCACCCTACCGGACGTCGAACTTCTTGATCCAGGAAGCCCCGGAACAGCAGGATCAAGCATGTTCCACCCCAACAACGACTGTATAGACATCGGAATATTTAACGTGAGACGCCTGTCAAACGAAGTCCGACAAGAACTGTAAGAATCCATGAAGAGAGCTCGACTCGATATACTAGCCCTAACGAGATGGAGAGACGAATTTCAGAAGAATATTGGCACTTGCAATTGGCAAACAGTTAGATCACTCACGTTAAAAAAAAGGATCAGTTTGTTTGGGTGCCGCATATTGTAATGATATGAAAGGCAAATAAATCATAAAAAGGAGGATTTGATATATTGCCAAAGAAAACGTTCCTTCATTGGAGAATTTTCTCCCAACCTTTGCAGGAATACAAGGAACATGGATACTCAACCCCTCCCACGAATCTGCATTTTTCTGCCTCATTTTTGCGATTGCCAATTATTCATGCTGAGGCAGGCACGGAAGTCCTTGCAGCAGCTCTGCTAGTATTAATAAATGAAGTGTTCCATAGGTGGAGAATGGTTTTAATGCAGATTTACTTGCGCATATCAATCTTCAGCGCAGGCTCGGCACGAGGTGAGCAAATGACAAGCTGGAAAGCGGGGTCCCGAAAAAAAATGACAGTTGAAATAGCAAACAAATCTGGGCTTTTCCCCACAGATTGGTTTTCGCGCGCGTCAAATCGCGCCATCGCTGGTTGCCGCATGCGCGTCGCATAACCAAGGCAAATTGGGACAGCATACATGACTAGTTCTCAATGTATGTGCAAGCACCAAATTGCTTAGATGAACGAACATAGGCTAGTGGAGACAAGTTATGATAAAAGTATGGAAAGCTCATGTGAATGGATGGCGCAATAAGCTTTTTATTTCAGAATTTCTCATAACTTGTGAGTAAAAATGTAAATTATTATAAAATGGTTCCTTTGCAAAGCACAGTTGGCGATATGGTACAAAACTTGGTAGGTATATGGACACAGGCCTGTAGGAATCCACTTAGCAGTTTTATGAAAAAATTATGTGACTGAAAGTTGTGGCAAGCTGTTTTCTGAGAATTTACCACTAGCTCGTTTGCAATGCACAGATGGTGATATGGCACAAAATTTGGTCTGGTACGCGCAGCTGGTACGCGCGCAGAGACTAAGGAACAAAGTATGAAGAACTGTGAAAAACTTATGTGAATGAAGAACGTGGTTAACTTTTTTCCATTTTAGTTGGGCAAATGCCCACCTAATGTGCATCTGTGGTAGGCAAAACTTCCACTTCACATAAGGTTCTCAAAAATTTTTACATTATCTGTTCTACACCCGAAGTATAGTCTATACTAACATTTTGGTTCCAAAGCTCCTCCTTTCTTCCTTGTTAGGATCCGGAATAGTAACGACGGCCGGTGCTTTGGAGGAAGAAAGAGCGCTCCAATTAAATAACCTATGCTGCCGGGATGAAGCGGGAAATCGTAAAAATCGGTGACGGCGAAGACGAAGTCGTTTCACCGATGTTCTTTTGCCAAACTCGTACTGGACCCTAATTCAGCACCATAACAAGACCAAGGTGGATGGAACAATTTCGTAAGTAAAAGGAGGCGAGAACCCTACATCGAGCTCACCACTTTATCGGAGCGACATTTCATATACTGTTTCTAAATTTGAGACTTGGAAAAATCCAAAATTACGCCTGAGTAAAGGGTTTTGCCTCGACGTCGCAGATTTTCTTTGCATTTGCGCGTGGCCAAATTTGAGAAGAAGGTTTCAGAATTCTAGACAAGGCTACAGATTAGTGAAACCCGACACATTGCTTTGAAAGTAACGGAACGACATTGGTATCGCGACTCGCGCGATGCAAGCCATCCGGAGCAGGAAAGCCAGAAGAGCTGTGTCACAGTTGTCGAAAGGGCTCGTGCATCCGCGCACAGGCTTTTCAGCACAAACGCACCCAAGTCGAGGTATATATAGCCGCGCAAAAAGCGGCATACGCTCGTCGAGTTCTATAATTATTTATTGTTGTCGTTATGCTTGGCGAATACCAGTAAGTTCCCCCAGATGATTTTTAAACGCGATTGAGTATCGGAGGTTTTGTTATGTCTAGACGCAGTTAGCGAGATTGGCCGATGATATATGGAGAATATCGGGAGTGGACATGGGCCGCACCTTTCCGCGGAACTTGGAGACAAGGAAGACGACCGTGGAGACATACCCTTTGATTCAAATGGATTGGTGGCTGAAAGGCGGGGCTTCGTGACCTAATTAGGATTAGGTAATGATGAGGCACGCGCTCGGGAGAAACCGCAGACTGCGTCGCGGGCGCGAGCGACTTTGGTTAGATCACAAAGCCCCGCCTTCCAGCTGCCAAGCGTGTTGAATCAAAGAAGTACTGAAAAAGCGCGCTCTACCGAAAAGAAAGCTTCCTTTTGGTTTTACATGATTGAACTTGTGTGAGAAAATATGAGAAAACCGCAAAGGTTTCATTTAGTGCAAAAATAAGCCATGCATACCTGGGCAAAAGGACGCTACATCCTTTATATGCTCTGCTCGCGGCGGACATCTGCCACAAACTACGCGTCCTTACATGCTGCAATCTCTATCAGTTGTCCGCCATGCTAGCCTATCTTATATATAAAGCTGAATGTCTGTTTGTCTGTCTGTATGTCTGTCTGTCTGTCTGTCTGTATGTCTGTCTGTCTGTACGTATGTTCCGAATAGAAAATTCCATTTCTGAACCGATCGGGACCAAACTTGGCACACATACACTTCGGGCCCCGGCGGGTGTCATAGGCTACTTTTCGTCATCGATCGATATTGATTTTATCGATTTTTTGCAAAATTTGAGCTACAGGGCTGGGAGTTGGCACAGGGGGGTAATCGAGCATGCTGATCACCCCCGTGGGGGTGATCAGCATGCTCGATCACATCCCCCTGCCAAATTCCAGCCCCCTAGCTCAAATTTTGCAAAAAATCGATAAAATCGACATCGATCGATAACGAAAAGTGGACTGTGGCACCCGCCGGGGCCCGAAGTGTATGTGTGCCAAGTTTGGTCCGGATCGGTTAAGAAATGGAATTTTCTATTCGGAACATACGGCGGAGCCGGGTAAGCCAGCTAGTTAAAAATATAGCGTCTTCTGGGAGGGCAAGCGTTGGGCAACAAACGTGCAAAACGCAAGCAACGTAAACCGCGTGACTCACAACTATGTGCCCGCTTTCAATGACATCGTATTATGTATCAGTTCCTACCTTGAAAACGTTTTGCACGGAAAAATTTTTGAGGCCCTAAAAATTGCCTCCCAATTCCCTATACCCCGTCTTCTATCCTCTTCCCTTAGGGCCTAAGGCCTCATGTGATTAAAGTCGCTGCGTGATCTGGCACTGCAGCGACTCTTCATAACTGGTCAAAAGCACGCTTTGCATGGGCCAGACTTGAAGCTTTTGCTAAAAGTTAAGGAAGCTACGCGCCCATGCATTTTAGAACCGCGCACGGTTGATTTGTAAACACCTGGCACCGCAAAGTCGCAAAGTTGACGTAGTGATTTGAAAAAATCGCGGGAGGTGTATCTTAGGCCTTATGCTTTATCACCATAGGTGCTTACATCAACGGGTGTAGGACGATTTGCACGGCCGTAATGCCCTCCACACAGGACCACCGCAGCGCGCGACACACCCTGCGGCGGCTTTTGAGCAAAGCAGGGGGAGCATAGATTTGCGGCCTGCGTGACGTGTCAAGACAAGTCAAAATCGGAAAGCGCTGGAACCGCCTGTGCGAAAAGACCGTTTCCCCGTCACTTACTAACCAACGGATCGCAAGTTGCTTGCGCTATATAGCTTTACTAAAACGGCAAATCCACGAGTAATCAACAATGGATTCAGCAAAGTTTCTTCATATTATGTGTAAGTCAGTATATTATTTACTTTATATTATTATATTGTTTATTTATCACCGCTTCATAAGTTACGCGAGCGAGCGGCCTTAATTAGGTCACAAAGCCCCGCCTTTCAGCAGCCAAAAGTAGTGATTTCCTAATGCGGTTAGAAGTGGTTAACCAACACTGCCCAACTCCTCTGCAAAAGGTGAATTCCAAAGCGAGAAAATTACTTTAGAATTTACCTACATACCGCCCTGTTCCCGCTCATCAAGTGGGTGGTTTGTAGCTTCAGGTAGCTAGAGTCAAAATTTCTTTGTTTTGTGTGGAAAGGTAGATTTTGTCATTTCCACTTTTAGTAAAAACCTGGGTCAAAACTCAAGATAGCTCAGAAAGAGAAGCTGATAAAAAAAACGTTACAAAAACAGCTTTCGTGAACTGTTTGGTGGAAGACGGCAATAATTTCTTTCATATGAAGATGCGTGGCGTAGCTGCACTACAAAAAAGACTTTAGGGTGCTGCGCCCGAAAAAATTTTTTATAAGGCTGATTTGAATTTTTAAGTTTGAAAAATTACTTTAGAATATTTACAAGAATAAACACGTCACTTCCAAATTTTTATAACCCAACCCCGTCCTCCACTGTCTATTTGATATCTGCATTCTCCAAGGCTAATGTAACACAAAATTTCGGAAAATTACGGAAAAGAGTATTTTGCCTCGTACCTTTTTATTCCCTCTATCGTCTTCCTTGATCGACTCTTTATGATCCAGTACGAGTTGAGCCAGAGCAGCAGTAGCATCGGTATCCGGAAGCACTTCTAGTCTTTCCCATTGCTTTAGACGGTCTTCCTCTTCCTGGAAATATAGAATTTTTTTCCGTTATCAAAACCACAAAGAAAAATGCGGAAATTTTTGGACAAAAAAGTGGTGCTTTGGAAAATTTCCCTCGAAAAGGATAGGCTTATCATCATTACGTGTTTTACATAGTTCTTCAGAATGTTCGTTGTGCTTTGTGTGGTCTCATCGACGATCGATTTCTTTCGCATCGATGGAACGCGAATGTTGATGGGAAGGGCAGGAAACGGATCGAGAGGCACTGCAAAACATTTGCATGTGCTTATGCATGGTAATGAAGACGATAATAAAATTGATAGAAAAAATGAGGAAAAAATTTCCAATGGCTAGACTTACCATCAACATATTCTTCTTCGCCAGCAGCAGATATTTTTCTCAAAGAAATACGCGAGATTTTTCGCTCGGGAGGTGGAACAAGAGCGGAGAGAATTACTGAAGATCAATGGCTTAGTAGATGTGACAAATTTTGAAAAACTGCAAAAAAATTTTGATTGGAGCAAAAATCCAAAAGAAAATACAGTTCGGAAATTTTCCCCAAAAGGTATAAGAAGAATTTATTATAGGTAGAAAAGCATAACCTGTGCTTTTTAGTCTGATCATTTTAAAAAACTTTTTCTGAAAAAAGCACTGTCTTGCGATATTTCGAAGACTTCTGACCAAAACTTCACCAGCACATTCAACAACAAAGAATTTTAACGGATAACTTTTTTATCAACTTTTTTCAAACATCATGCTTCAATGCACAACCCCTTATAGAACATCACGTATAAAAACTTATGAAAAGCTTTCCACCAAACTCTGAAATGCTACAATTACTGTTAAAATTCAAAATCAAACAAAATTCCTCAAAACGGCACTTTTTTCTGTTATTGATAGTAAGTTTGTAGAGAGCAAAATCTCATAATGTGCTTTCCTTTTGCTAATGATTTTTTTCTGATTCTCAAAAGTCCAAGAATACACTAAGAGACTTTTCTTGAGATAATCAAATGCTGAAATCAAAGAACTATGGTATCGAATAACTCACTATTTTTCTGTTCAGTTTCTTCTTCGTCCCCCATTTGTACCATTGACACACATGTAGATGTAAAAGTAGCTGTTAGACCTAGAATCAAGCATAAAGTACAATGGCATTGAAAGACGAGCAAAGCCAATTTACGAAAAAAGAGAGGAGTCACAAATGAGTTCTTCCGTTTGCGTAAAACTGAACTTTGATGCTCTTTTGGCAATAAGGGTTCGAAGCTGGTTGTTTGTACAAGGAAGTATTACACTATTGGGTTAGGATTTATAAGTGTATTGACAACTGAAAGCAACATACAGTGAAAATAGGCAGATAAGGAAAGAAAAGTCATTTTTTGAGTCACATCAGAGGTTTTGAAATCGCACCAGTTTTGTAAGCTCTAATATTTATTTTATTCATTTATTCTTACGCTCTAAGGCGTGATACAAAAACCAAGATTAAAGATACAGATGAGATAACACAATTCTAAAAGAAAGACGTAAAGATACAATAAAATCATCATCAATTTAGGTCCAGTTCGATGCTAATCAAAATTAAAAGCACTAAGGTTTTGCTCAAGCAGACATGATCTTAAGCTATAAAAATACAACTGATCTCCTAATCGTAGGCGAAAAAGCAATCGGGATAGATGCCGGAAAATATAGATAATATGATAATATACAAATATATATATGCAAATATGCGAGGATTGATGAGAAAAAGGAGTATGAATGATTTCACGCTATAAAAAATACAATTGAACCCCTAATCGTTGAAAAAAAAACCAGTCGGTAAAGATTTTTCCGTCGCGACATAATTAACGTGACAAAATCAACGGAATGTAATAGTTTTTCTCAGAGTGAGCACAGCTAGCAAATCAGAAAATATCATCTTGAAATTTTGGAAATTCACTCGTTTACGCTGTCGCGACGTAATTAAGTACCATGAAATATCAATGCAATATGTATCAACATCATTAGATGTTTTATTCGCAGGAACATTCTTGATCTCGCAAATTCCTGACTTGAATAATGTATGGAAAATCAAAAAGGATACATTGATCGTTTTCATCAAATATAAGTCAGATATACCGAATTTCCTAAACTGCGAAAATAGTAGGTAAGCCCGAGACCATGTAGCACCTATGAATCATGAGTTATCACAACTTGTTGACAAATTAATGTTTTGCATGATTCTGATTGTTTGTATATCAAATCATGCACTTTCGAGTTTGAAATTTCTGAAAATAGGCAACCGAATAATGGAAAGGTAAAGTCTTTTAAAATTTTAACCTGAATTCTACGACTGTCACTAACATTATTGGGATGTGCCATATTGTTTTACCGTTTTTACCCTAAACATCAGCGTTTCTTGAGAACTGAGGCATCTACAAAAGGGTACAATTACATGATCGTACGTGTATGCATGAAATATATTATCACGTGAGTGGGAGGAGCTCAGGACGTCTAGAGGCGGAGCCAGGGCTCGGCACGAGGTGGCTAGATGAAAATGGAAAAAACGAAGTCCCCCTTGACTTTTGGGAATTTTCACGAAGTCCCCTTTGACCCTGAACCAAATTTCTTCTAAAAACCTGAAAAATTCCCGAAAATCCCCCAAAAAACGAAACGTCGACTAAAAAAAAAGGTCGCCGTCGTCAATTTTCCGTATGTCTTCGCTCACAAAAACGAAACCCCCTTTGCTTTTCGTCCCAAAAACGATATCCAGCTTGCTTGTAAGCCACCTGTGCCGAGCCCTGGGCGGAGCTTGCCATTTTACTCCATTCATCTTCTGCTGTATTTCTAGCCATGGGAAAAATACGTTAAATGTACAAATAGATGTTCGATGAGTTAAGCATATGCAAAGACAAATGGGGAACTTTTGCAGATTTGGGGTGGATATAGGATTTATGACAGTGAAGTTCGTTTTTGACTGCTATCAGTCCGGATCAAAACTTCCGGTAAAACAGGATTTGGGCGAATTCTTAGCCATCTTTTAGAGCTTGCTTTGACCTCTCGAATAATTACAGTCGAGTAGATTTAGCGGTAAATATAGCGTGCTTGCACAGAAGGTGAAATGCGGTAAAATTGGCGCGTGAAGAAATAGTTTCGACTGTGACGCCGGCCAATTGCGCGCGCACGATACCCGCGCTACTGACGTGGCTACTTGTTCACGCGCAAATTTCACCGCATTTCACCTTCTGTGCAAGCACACTATATTTACCGCTAAATCTACTCGACTGTACTTAACACCTTAAGCCTTTTCCTGTAACTTTTTTCTTTTATTTGATGTGGCACTCTCATTTCTGGCATTATGTAGAATGTTACGTAAGCTGTATGTCTGCGCAAACCGTTTGATATTTGATAAACTAGTAGAAGAAATTCAAGCATTTTTCACCTCTTGAAAATCGATGTTTCACAGTTTTTTGGCAAGCATGAAGCCGTAAAAAAACCTGAATCAAACATATCAAAAAGAATTCATAGACAGCATGTAGCTAGAGGTTGACACATTGGAACTGTAAAAAAAAGAAGAGAGTTTCAAAGACAAATTAAGATAAGGCACCTCTTTGAAGTAGAACCAAATGCGTTAAGTTTGGAGGGCAATCTGTTAATAACTAAGCTGCAAAACCGCTAAAACTTGGCACATTAGGGTGATTCAATAAGGTGAACACCAATACCATATTCATTTGTCGCTAAGGTGAATCATTCTTTGACTTTACGAAAGAGGCCTTTTTGTGCAAAACGGGTCTCATACCCTAACCCTTACATAAGATGACAAATTTCGGCAGAAATGTCTGCATTTGCAGTTTACATTATAATCCTTATATTGGCGGAAAATGAATGCGCTACATTCAAAAAGACAAAAATGATATAAAGTTGTATTACTTATGCGCCGACCTAATAAGCAAAACGTGATTTGTGAGTTAACTATTCCAAAGCTTATTACGAAAATATAAAAGGAAGGCAGCTGAAATTGTGAAAATGATGGGAGATTCGTATCACAACATTCGCAAAACAAACGTTTCACAAGAGAAGCCTGCATGTCAGATAATTACATTAACATTCAAAATTATCAGTATTGAAGATAATTTCATCACGATAGTTTTATACGCTGTTACAAAGCGGTATTGCATGAGACATAAGAGCCCTGCTGAGAATGTGAGAAAAGCACACAGATAGTGCAAGTATTTGTTTACAGCAGTAAGGCTAGAATATTCTTCGCCGCTTCGAAAATGCTGGGGAATGTATCGTGCATGGAATAGTCGCATTTGATATGTGCATGAATTAAGAATGAAATAGTGCATATTCAGGTGCAAATTTTGGAAGAGAAAGTGGAATATGCATAAGATTCAAGTTGCTTTAAAAGTAGCAAACGAGTTCTGATAATGAGTGCTGCTTAGCCAAGAAGAATTAGATTAGAGCTAAAGAAAAAAATGATGGTTAGAATTCAAATTTTGCCTTTTTGAATCCATCAAACTGCGACTTGAAAAGTGAGACAAGACACCATCTTCTATCACATATGAGCAAAACATTTTTGAATATAACAGATTCCACCATGTCAACCGGAAAGTATGTTATACTTTTTCAACAAAGGCATCTCATTTGAATACATATAAACCCGTTGTATGTGTTCAGTGAACATTTGCTCTTGTGCGAATTGTGATTGAGAGGGAACCGACTGCCTGACGATGACGTTGGACACTCTTACTAAACTTTTATAGAGGAGACTTTGAAGAGTTGTTAAGTCAGCACAGTCAGGGCTGTTGCAGCCCCTTTGTGTCAAAACTCCAGCAGATGTTTACGAATGCGGAGCTGATTCGATGTTTATAACATGTACTAAAATTGGAAAAGCACGAAACGCTGCTTGCCAGTGCCATAAAGGAAAGAAAAAGGCGACCAAATCGAGATTGGACAATCTGCATCGCAGGAAAAAAGTGTTGGGCATGATATGAGACCTCAGAGAACTAGCAGGAAAAGCTTCGTAAAACATTATTGTTGAGAAATCAGTATTGGAAGGGAAACAAATACGGATAGTAGAATTATTTTGCTCTTTTGTCTGCAAACCTGGTCATATTCTTGTATGTGTCAATGAAAATATTGGAATACTTGATTTCCTGGTGAATATACGTTATTAGACCGGGCTTTTCAAACAATTCGTCTTCTTCAGAGGTCTGAACGTAGCTTACCAATTGCAGTGTCGGGTGCACCAGCATCTCCACTCTCACAAGGGACTCTGCACCTTCCGCAAATATGCTCTCTAGTCATACCCAGTTGATTGAAAACCCGCCTTTCCCACGCTCGCGGTGGGAAAGTGATCAAGGAGCATGTTCGCGAAAGAGATGCAGAGTCCAGGAGGAGCGCCGCGCGGGAGCGGAGATGCTGGTGCTCCCGACACTGCAGTTGGTAAGCCCTGTAAATCATGGCCATTGATCCATTCACCACATCGTTAAGAGTCACCTCAGAGTTTGACATTCAAGAGCTCGGGATTAGCATGCAGTTTAAGAAAAGCTCGAAGCGAACCAACTTTGTACTTTATTCAGCGAGGTCACAATTCGGAAGTGGACAGACGTCACGATGACAATCATCGAGTTAGGATCCCTGCATGCAGTCATAACACATCTAGCTAAGGACTGCAAGAGATCACTACTAATAGACATTTTCGGTATTTTATTGAAGGTGTGGGCGTGTCTCAAATGATATCGTAGGGAAGTGTCGAACATCTTGATCCATGTCAAATCAGCTCACCCGAAGCAACGCAACAAACAATCATCCGAAAATTGTTCGAACTGGGGGGGGGGGGCGGGCGTTGGGTACCCAGCCATTAATGGTAAACACTAAGCCGCGCCCCTTGGTTGCTTCAGTTGTGGGTACCTAACGATACAACAAATCCTAGCTGCTAGAACAGCTCACATAGCTCGCTAAAGCGCTGGCGCTCGCGACCCACAGAAAAATGATAGTTGGAGAAAATCAAAAAAAAAATTGCGCGAGCGAAAGCGCACGTTTATAACGCTTTTTCTATTGCTTCTTTTTTTGATCCATTTCAGAACCACAGAAGGTCGGTGCTGAAAATTAAAAACAGGGTAAACTTTTTATGAGCACTTCACAAAGT